TCTATCATACTCAGGTCAGCCCAAGCCTCTCTTTCAAACAAATAAAAATGACAGTCATAATAGAACTGACAGCATTTTCATATATAGGAAGTAAAAGATTTGACCTTATTGAATTCATTATAATTGGTCCTCAATGTTTACTTTATATTTCTCCAGGATGTTATATATCAAATTTTCCCTTAAGTTCTGCTGTTTTTGTCACATATGTCTGAAAGCCTTTCAGTTCATTAAACGTCCATTTTTTTTCATTCAGGATTATACTTAACTTAGCTGAGTAAGTTATTCTTGGTCATAATCCTCATTGTTTTGCTCTACAAAATAAAGTATTCCAAGACCTATGGTCATTCAACATAGCAGCTGCTAGGTCTTATGTAATCCTTATTGTTGCTCCACGATATTTAAATTGTTTTTTTTTTTCTTGTTGCTTCCATTTTCCCCTTAACCTGGGAGCTTTGAAACTTGCCTATCATATTCCCGTAAGTTTTCCTCCTGGGATCTCTTTCAGGTGGTGATCTGTGGATTTTTTCTATTTCTGTTTTGTCTTCTTGTTCTAGAACTTCAGGGCAATTTTCCTTGATAATTTTTTGTAATATTGTATGAAGATTCTTTTTTTATCATAATTTTCAGCCAGTCTGACTTTTTTTTTTTGGCTAAGCAATGGAAGTTAAGTGACTTGCCCAGGGTCACACAGCTAGTAAGTGTCAAGTGTCTGAGGCCGGATTTGAACTTAGGTCCTCCTGACTCCAAGGTCAGAGCTCTATCCACTGCACTACCTAGATGCCCCCTGATTATTCATATATTACTTCTCCTCTATCTCTTTCCCAGAGCAGTTTTTTTTCTGATGAGATATTTCATATTCTCTTCTTCGTAGATTGTAGTTTTTCCAGTAATTCTTATCAAATGGGAATTCTTTCCTAGGTAAGTTATATTTTGGGGTTTGTCACATGCTAAGTTATTTAATTCAATCATTCCTAATTCTTCTGTGTCCAGCCTATTCTACTGATTTACTTCAGTAATTTTTAACCCACACAAAACAGTTTTAATGATTATTGTTTTATAGTATAGTCTTTAATAAGAAATGGAGAGGAAATGGCAAACCACTCCAATATTTTTGCCAAGAAAATCCCAAATGGGGTCACAAAGAGTCAAACACTACTGAAATGACTCACTTAAAATAAAGGAATGCTATTCTCTTCATTCTTATTTTTAAAAAATTATTTTCCTTGATATTCCTGATCTTTGGCTCTTCTAAATGAATTGTATATAATTTTGTCTATGTCATATGTACTTTGCCAAAGATTTTTTCTACTTTTCAAGACATCAATAATGAAGTTTCAGATTTGAAAAACATGATTATTTCCCTAATGTTGAAACATCTTTGCATCCCTATAAAATTCCACTTGATCACAGTCAAGAAGAGGGAATATATTACTAAAATAGTCCAAGTGAGAAGTGACAAGGGACTAACCAATGGTGGTGACCTTGTGATTGAGGAGAAAAGGGCATATACAAAAGATATTGTGGGGGACAATCAAGATTTGGAAAATGAATGAATCTAAGGAAAAAGAAAGAGAGAGAGGGATGAATCAAGGATATCTTCAAGGTTTTGAATCTAGGTGATGAGAATGATAATGCCTGCAACAGAAATTGAGTTCAAAGTAAAAGGTAGGTTTAAGAGGGCAGAGGATGTATTCCACTTTGGACATAAGGAGTTTCAGATGCTGATGACACATAGAAGTGGAGATATCTAGCATATAGTTCATGATAAGGGACTTGAGTTAAGGACAGAGATTAGCAAAATATATTTTAAAATCTGGGAGATATCTTCATAGAGATGGTACTTGTACATAGAGATGTGTTTTAACCATCCCATTACAACTTCTTTAGCAGATTAGACCCTCTAAAATCCCCAATCTCTCTTGCTAATTTTCATCCTCTCTCTACCTACAGGATCTTTCTCTGCTATTAACACATCTTTGTCTCTTTGTTATTAAATAGCTGTCACCTCAGCCTACTGTATCTGCTAGCTGTAATTCTTGATCTCTCCTCTCTATTCAAAGTTAAATTCCTTGAGAATGCTGTCTACACCAACTATCTCTACTTCCTCACCTCTTACTCTCTTTTTGAAGATTTTGCAATCTGGCTTTCAACCTGATCATTAACTGAAACTATTATCTCCAAACTCACCAATAATATTTTAGTTGCCTTTTCTCAATTCTCATCCTTTTTGATGTGTCTGCATTTAGCACACTGGCCCTTAATCAATTTTTACTGACTGACTGATTCTCGGTAGCCTTTCATGGTGCCAATAACCCTCGTCTTTTGATTACTCTCTCCTCTCTGTTTTTTTGTTTGATTTTTAAATAAACACTACTCTGTCCTGGTTCTTCTCCAATCTCCTTGGTCTCCTTTACTGGATCTCCAGCTAGGACATTCCCACTGATTGTGGATATCTCCCAAGGTGAGGTCCAAGGTCCTCTTCATTTCTTCCTTTATACTATCTCACTCGATGATATCATCAGCTTCTATGGGTTCAATTATTGTCTTTATCTCACCTTGTAGTGTGACATGGGAAACACTGTCACAGGACCGCCCAGCATGGAGTACCCACATCAGAGGTCTTGTGCTTTATGAGCAAAGCAGAATTGAAGCCGCTCAAAAGAAACACGAGATGCACAAATTTAGAGAATCCACTTCAAATGTTCACATGGACTATTTGTGCCCGACCTGTGGCAGAATGTTCCAAGCTCATATTGGTCTGATCAGCCATAGCTGGACACACCGTAACTTGACTCTAGCATAGTGATGTCATTTTGGTCCTTTTCCAGAAGGACAACCACCACCAACCAATGATTTCAAAAAGCCCTTTCCAGTTCTTATTAATTTTAATGACTCCCCTCTACATACCATATACATGGTAGAATAATTAAGGAAAAAACATCGGTGGGGGCTGGAATCATTTGCAGAGAGCCTAGATATGTCCTAATTCCCCCTTTATGGTTCTGGAGAACTGTGAAAGAAAGAGTGAAATGTTACCTATCTAGCCTTCAAGTGGTTGGGGCCATAGTGCTTAATGTCACATGTTAAACTTATTATTTATTTTCAAAGAAATACACTCTGTACATATTAGATATCTACAACTTCATGTACATTACACATTTTTTGTTCTAACATTTATGTGGAAATGGTTGTTTTAGGTAGTGTTTGTGAAAGTTCCAAATTTAAAAAAAAGAAGGATGTGGAAGACTGGGCATGTCTGTAGGGACCAGGGAAGGAAGTCAGTGGATAACCAGAAACTGAAAATGAAAGAGAAGAGATGACTGAAGGGCCAAGATCCTTGAGTATAGAAGAAGGAGAACATCATGGGCATACATAAAAGTGTTGGCCTTGGTAAGGAATCAGAGACATGGACAAAAGTGGAGAGAAGGGAATAATTATTAACAGTGGGTTTAAAGCGTAGAATGGGAAGAAGAGGGAAGTCAAGAAGGATGGTTTCTATTTTTTCAAGAAAGTTGAAGTGAGGTACTCAGCTCAGGTCTGGGGAGGTGTAGAGTAGAAAAGAAAAGTTTACAATAGCTACCTGGAGTCTAGGGAGTCAATTAAGAAAGAATTAAAAAAGACTACTTTTGTCTGTGGATTAATGGTAAAACTAAAGGTCATTTTATTTGCCTCTTAAAGGCCTGAGAGCACCATATCTGGTAGCTGCAACTTTTCATTTTTTAGTTCCATTTAAAGTGAGAATAAAAATAATCATTATAATAGTAATAAGGCTTAGAGAGTACTTTACTTGTATTATTTCATTTGATCCCCACAATAATTCTGTGAGTTAGGCACTGTTATTATCCCTATTTTATGAGGAAACTGAGGCTGAGAGAGAGTGAATGACCTGCTTAGGATCACATAACTAAAAAATGTCTGAGCAGGACTGGAACTCAACTCTTTCCACACCACAAAGAGGCATTAGGGTAGTGTTCTGTGTATATTCTATGTACATGAATAGAATTGATAAAGAAGACCTATAGCATAATATCTTTTTAGTAATTGCTACAGCATCAAACTGGGCAGGAACAAGGTTAGGCATGGGGTTAATCATAATTCCACTGGCTTTTTTTTTTAAGCAGAATTTGTTAATTTTTGCAGGATCACAACTGAGATCAATCAGTCTCATTTATTTTCCTTTTCCAGTTGCACAGTTCCTCACTCAGTTCTTCAATGTACTCACCTCCCACACCCTAATCATCCACCCTACCTCAATGACTAACTTTGATAGACTGAGTTCTTAGCAAGACAAGACCTAAGACACCTCCAAAAGTCTCATGATGGAAAATGCTATCCACATCCAGAAAAAGAACACTGGAGGCTGAATGCAGATTGAAGCATATCATTTGCTCTTTTTTTTTCTTCTGTTTTGTTTTTTTTCTTCTTTCTCATGGTTCCTCTATTGGTTCTAATTCTTCTTTACAACATGACTAATGTGAAAATATGTTTAATAGGAATGTATATGGAGAGACTATAACAGATTGCATGCCGACTTGGGGAGGGAGGCAGAAGGAGGGGGAGAAAATTTTAAACTCAAAAGCTTATGGAAATGAATACTGAAAACTAAAAATTAATTAATTAATTTAAAAAAATGAATGCTGACAGAAAATGAAGAGGCAGAAGCCTTTCATCCCCTCTTGTTTTTTATGTTTCTTTTCCTCAGACCTCCATTTTTTTTCACTGTGTCTCACTTTAGTCTTTTTTCATAACTCAATTTCCTCCATCATCATATCCTTTGTCCTGAATCTCCATTACCCTACTTTTTCTAAGTAAACAGAAGCAAACACATGGACCCAAAAGAAGCAGGGATATGATCCCACTGACACCACTGCAATAGTGATTTGTTTTCTTACACATCCATTTTCACTGAGGTCATCTTCACTTGTCTCAATTATAACAGAAATCTTTTTATATTTCGTATTATGTTTCACATGATAAAATAACTTTTCAAAAACACTTACCTCAGTAGTAGTTCCAATGTCAGCAGATGGGCTACATGTGCTGGTATCTGGTGGAACTGTACCAACACTACTTCTAATTGGAGAGCTTGGAACAGGCCCTGTCACAGACTCTGGATAGCCTGAAGACTGATTTAGAATGCCTTTCTTCTGAATCTTATTCCAGACCTTATTCATGATGTCTGTTAGTTCATATAAAAGCTGAACCTGAAAAAAAAAACAAACAAACCACAAAGGGCAATTCTTTACAACTGGCTCTTCAGAATATTGTAAATGTAGGCTAAGGCCAAATGTAGAATTTGAGATACAACTGGAAATTAGAAAACTATAAGATTCACTCCCGATGAGGGAACGATTGTAAAGAAGTCATTCTTTGTACCTCATTTTCCCCACCTGGGAAACAGAAGAAAAATAACTATTCCAGACATATCCTGTACGAGATATCAAGGACAAAGGAAATAATATGTGCAAAGTGCTTTCAGAGTCCTAAAAGATAGTCCTTTTATTAACTCAATGTGGGGGAAAGATAAGTTTGTCCACAAGTGAAATGTGATCCCATATCAACATTATAAAATCCCCAAAGAACTTTAGCAGTTTGCAATAAAATCCATGATTGTCTAAGTACAGTTCCTGAATATTTAATCTAATTTGCTAATTCAAAATACAAGGAACTGTGCTGGGCCTCTATGGAAATATTTGAAGTTTATTAATTCAGAGACAATCTATTTTTATGGAGCCTACAATCCAGTAGCAACATAATACATCAGTGAAAAATGTAGTGAGTGACCTTTTAAATATGAGACAGTAGCTGCATTTTTATATACAGAGAACACATAGTAGACAGTTTTAAAAATAGAAGTCAAATGCTTCTCAGAAATATTTATTTACTGAAATGTTAAATAATTAACATTACTTTCAAGTGATTTAAAAAATTCAAATTCTGACAAATTAATCTGAAATTTGATCACTTTTAAAAAGAAATAAACTTAAAAACAACAAAAAAACCAGTTTATGTATAAAAGAACAACAGTAAGCTGAAGCTGTTCTATAAGATACTGAAAGAACATACACTATCCAGCTTACTAGTCTCCTGGGATATGTCGTTCCAATATTCACAGAACATACTGTTTAACTTGCACATTGTTTGACTAAGTTCTAAGATATTTACACAAGGTTTCGTAAATAAGCATTAATCATGGAATTTGTATGACAACATATTGCCATATACTGTATAAAACAAGCCCAAGGAAAAATGCAAACACAGTATATAAGCAGAACCACAGCTGGATACCATACTCTGCTTGCCATTATAAAAAACGAAATTCTCATATTTATAAGAAGTTTCAGCCCCAGGATACATCCAGACGATGAAGCTGGCTTCTTATGTGGGCAGAACAGATGCATAAAAACACTGTTGTCAATTCACATTTGATATAAAACAGTGCTTGGGCGTGTATTTTCTTCCTTACTTTTTGTCAAGGAGTCCCAAATCTCATGCTATACTCATTTCTTAATAGGCTAGCATATAGAGACTTTATAAAATGTCTTGTTTTTGTTCAAATTAATTTGTCCTTTACATTCATGTGTATTTTTTCCCTTCTAACACAAACATTTTCACTAACTGAAAACCGTATTTTTTAAAAAAGACTCTGTCTTCTTGTAAAATATAGAGTAATAAGAAAGAAAACAGCAGATCAAAGGAAAAAAAAACATTCCTATGCAAAATTTACAGAAATGGTTCAATTTTTAATAGCCTGTGCTTCTAATGGCTCTTTATCACTTTCACCTGCCAACAAAATATTTCAGAATAAATACTATCAACTGACATCCACTAATGAATATATCTAAATAATCTCCAAATAATTTTATAGTTAAAAAAAAAAAAGGTTGCAAGACAGAATCTGTGAGCTGAAAGGAACCTCAGAGACCATCTAGTCTAATCCACATCTGAACAACAATCTTTTCTAAAGTAGCCGTCCATTTTTGACTTGAAGACCTCCACTGACAAGGAGCTCATCACCTTATGAAGAAGATCATTTTCCCTTTGGATAATATTAATTGTCAGAATGTTTTTCCTTACATCAGTACTACATCTGCCTCTTTTCATCTTCTACTCATTGCACCTAGTTCTGTCCTCTGGACTCCATTAAATATTTTATCTCCTTTATCACACTTCTGATTCATATTAAGCTTGCTGTACAAGAATTCCCCGGATATTTTTAGGATGAACTATTACCTAATCATACCTTCCTCCCATCTTGTTCTTCTGTGGTTGATTTTTGGAACTCAAATGTAATACTTTGCACTTTGTAACTATTAAATGAAAATGAGACATATGATTGGATGTCATTTATAAATGAAACAACTTGTCAGGTATCTTTCCCCTAGCTCTTTATCATCAGTGTCTAACCCATGCTGACAATGAATCATTAATGACAACTCTTTGGGTTTAGTCAAGCAATCATTTCTAAATTCACCTAACTATACTGTTTTCTGGCCAATACATCTCTATCCTATCCACAATACCATGAGAGAATATTTTTAATATTTTGGTAAAATTCAGAGCACTGGAATTCAGTCTACCAGTCCATTAACACTAACAAAAAAGGAAATTAAGTTTAGTCTGCTATGACTTGCCCTTTGATGAAGCCAAACTTTGTGAACATTGACTCCTTTTTTAGACCGTCTACTAAGGCAAAGAAGGATCTAAAGAATTATAGAATTTAGAGTTGGGAGGGTCTTTGTTGATTACCTAGTTTAACTCGTTATTTTACAGATGAAGAATCTGAGGCCCAAAGAAATTACATGCCTTGTCCAAAGTCAAGTCTTTTAAACTCCACATACAGAGATTGCTCTTTCAATCACACTATATTATACTGGCCCATGCCAAAACATGCTACTAACAAAAAACTTTATCAGTGGAGGAAGTTCTTACACCAATGAAATTACAGATCTTTAAAGTGTTAAAGAAAAAATACAGAATAGAAAGTTAGGGAAAAGATCAGGGATGAATATGTAGATTTTTAAAAATTGTAGGAACTTGGACATGCTTAGAAAAACAGCTGGAGGTATTTATCCTAATCTTTTAATACACTTTCTCTCTATGATATCCCTAACAGGTGGTTATCCAGATTCTGCTTGGAAGTCACCAACATGGAGACAATAACTGAACCTATGAAAAAGGAATACTCTCACAGAAATAAATACAGAAAACAAAAAGCTGATGGGTAAGTACTGAGAAGATAAGACAGAAAGAGTGGAAGAAAATCAGGAAAGTTCAATGTCATGGAAGCTAAGGAAGGACGGAGTTGTTCAAGAAGAAGTTGATGGACATCAGTATCAACTGCAAAAAAGTCAAGATACACCTAATTTGTAAAATAGGTGATTTGTAACCTTTAAAATATAGTTTTTGTAGGGTGGCTGGAATAGAAGCCAGATTTTAAGGAGGAAATATAATGATAGCTAGCACTTACATATCATTTTTAAAGTTTGCAGAGATCTTCACAACAGCCTTGTGAAACAGGTACTACTATTATTCTCATTTTACAAATAAGGAAACTAAGTCTGAGAGGTTAAGTGACTTGCTCAAGGTCATATAACTAGTTACATGCCTGAGGTAGGATGAAAACTCAGGCCTTCTGATTCCCAGTCTGCCCAGTCCTAGTTCATTCAAGGAAACAGTTTCTCATCTTACGACTCTATACTCTAAGCTAGTGATCTCCACTATACTTTTTTTTTTATTTGAGGGTCAGGGTGCGGATATACTGGTAGGAAAGGGGAAGGGGCAAATTTTCCCAGTAGCATGATAGCTGCTTTGAATGAACAACTCAAAAAGAAAGAGGATGGGTGCTTGCACGGCATTTGGGAGGAGTAGGGTAAGGAACTGTCTATGGACCAGCCTTAAAAAAATTGGAGACACATAATTAGAAGGAATTATGTTGACAACAACACCATAAGATTGACAATCACAGGAAGGGTGGGAAAAGGCAGATCTTTCCACTCTCTGACAGGCTCTTAGGGTCATGCCAAGGCTCTGACTTTGGAGACCACTGTTCCATACTACCATATTACTAATTCTACTACCATATTACTAATTCTATGTGGCTTGCTTTCTTCTTTGACAGAAAAAGAAAAAAAGCCAAATATCACCGCAAACAAATTCAAGTGAATGCTAGTAATCTAATTGTGTGCATGTGTGTCCCACACATACATATTTAACTGAGGTACTGCAGAATACAAAAGGTTGGATACGATGAACAGGGCAGGAAAACAATTCCTTTTTCTTATTTCTTTCTAGCCATTTAAATTTATTTATTTATTTATTTTTCGCTTTTTGGTGAGGCAATTGGGATTGAGTGACTTGCCCAGGGTCACACAGCTAGTAAGTGTTAAGCGTCTGAGGCTGGATTTGAACTCAGGTCCTCCTGACTCCAAGGCCAGAGCTCTATTCACTGCACCACCTAGCTGCCCCATTTAAATTTCAGAAGACTAAAGATGTTTGAAAATACTCCTAAGAATGACTGCAAGAATGCAGAGTAACAAGAAAAATTATTCAAAAAGTGAACACACACATTTTACACACATACACACACATATATATTATATGTTAATATTTATATTCTTCCCTATTATATGTCTTACCACAGTGTACTCAATTTCTGGGAGACGTGACACAATACCTTTGTTACTGAGGTAAGGCATGGGAAAATTTAGGGGAATTGATAAAGGTTTTCAGTCCAATGAACAGCAGTTTCTACAGGTCCAAATAAACATTATACACTCCTACTGTGAAGGACTGATGAATGGCCAAGGTATCTCCAAGAATGATCCAGTGCTTTAGATATGCTGGATGGTAGGCCTAGGATTCAATACCACTCTCTAACCCGGTAATGTCCTGTAGCTCCATAAGTAATTTATGATGATCAAAAATTTATCAGATCGTAACTCTGCTGATATTTCTTCTCTTAAACAAATGTTTAACTAAACAAATGTTAAACTTAAAAAGATTAAGGCATACAAATGACCAAAAGCCATCCCTCAACAAATAAGCATCAAAAGGATATAAACAAATTGTTCTTAAAAGAATTGTAAACTATTAACAACTATATGAAAGAATGCTAAAAATCACTATTAAGAAAAATGTAAATCAAAACAACCTCAAAATTTCACAACACACCTTAGAAATTAGTAAAGATGACAAAAAATGG